ACACGCAAGTCCCATTGCAGCCAGTATCGTTCCTTGGATGTAGGGAGGACCTTGCCACAATAGTGCTGCTGCAGTTGAAGAGTCTCCCTCCAGATCTCCCGGCGCAAATGGTCTCTGCTTCCCAGCATATCCTGGGCAGAACCAGGATTGTCGAGCTGGGCCAGCGCTTCCATGGCCGTAGGCAACTGTGGCTCTTCTCCTATGTCCGCAGAAATCTTGGTCCCGGTGGTACTCCTTAGGCAAGGAAGAGCATCCCACCGCTTGCCACCAATGTGACGGACCCCCGTACTCAGGATGAATATGTCCGCCGCTGTCTTCTTCCTTGCTCAGGAGATATCACAACCTGAAGATCCTTAGCTCCCAGTTTCCCCGATCACTCGCCAAGGCTTGAGTGTAGGTGAAACAAACTCTCGTTTATTGACAAACTGCACAAACTTTTATACAGAAAGTGATCAGATCAGAATATAATCCCATCACATCCACCTTCCCCTCCCCAGAAATCCTGTCTTCACAACACCACAGGTGTCCACCTGCTAACGAGCTCCAGACAGCCATAGCAGGAGCCTGGCCAGAATGGCATTGTTCTGAGCTCCCTCAGAGAAGTCTTTCCATAACCAGGTCACACAGCATAACGCACTCAAACATAACTCAAACCCAATACACATTTAACTTATAAACTCATCACCGTGTCGTCACATCCCCGGAGACGAAATTTTGGATGGCTTATGCATAACAATGGCGTTCCTTGTGGGGAATAGTTGTCGCCAGGTATATTGGGTCTGTAACTAGGCATAACATGTAAGAAAACAAGAGATGGTCGCAAGCACCGTTCTGTGCGCTGACCGAAAGGAGTTAATTCAGACCATAAATTGAAAAAATATATATAGCTTTATTTTTTGCATAGAAAAAAATTGCACCAAAAACAAAACGCACTTAAAATCAACAACGTTGTCTTACATGTACAACCACATTCATACCTAGTGGGTTAACCCTGCCTTCACC